CACTAGGATACTTGGCCACCACCAATTCATTGTTTTTTCTCAGAAGATTATAATCAAATAAACTCTGATAAAAGTCTTGGGGGTATTTTGCTGACCACAGCTTCTGGTAAAGGAGTTGTCTGTTGATCTATGACTAGCAAACTCTCTTCCATTCAGAATCCTTGTGATTCAGAGTCATAGGCTGCCTAGGTACAATTTCCTCTTCTTCTACTCCTTCATACCTAGCCATGTCATCCCTACCCTCCTGTGTTCCTATCCCATTCTCCCTCTGCTTTCTTTGCCCTATGCAATCCCCATTCTATTGCCAACAAACTGCTCTTCATGTTAGATGTCTTCTTCTCATGCTCCATAAATTTCAGACCATCACTAAGCCACCTTTCTTCCTTTGAGGTTCACTCCACTCAGATACACCTTGTATGAAGATCCTGATGACAGTTATCTGCTAGTCACAAGTCTTTTACCCTCTTTTAACAAGGAGTTAATCCCTTGTTAACACTGGCTCACAAGTTCCATACCTAACTCACCAGTCTTCCTCTCCACACCAACTCTTGTCCTTATCCTTTGGAAATTCAACATACATATTTATGTTCCCTTGCACATCCTTGCTTCCTAGTTTATCAAGTCCTCAACTCTCATAATTCATATTTTCAGTTCAACTTATCCACTCTGGGGATATTTATACCCTTGATATCACCATCACTCACAAGTATTTTAATCTTTATAGCCCATAACTCTGAAATTCTTCTACTTAACCATATTCCTTCTGTGTTTCTTTTTTTCCCTGTATCTCACCCTTCCAATTTTGGACTACGATTTACCCAGGCCAATCCCCCAGAAGTTTAGATACTGGAATCACACTCCCCACAATGTCTGTTGCAAAAAAACCTTCTCTATTCTCCTCAAGATAGACAGGTGCCCCCCTCCACCTCAGCAGAGTGTGCCTCATACTTTACTAGAAAAATCAAGGCCATCCGTTATGAGTTCCCTTTTCTCCACAATTTCACTCCTCAAATCCCTCCAATATTTCCCCTTCTCTCCTCCTTTGTTTCTCTCTCAGAGGAAGAGATGGCCTTTCTACTTGGCCAAGTCAACCTCTCTATTTTCATTCTTTATTCATCTCTCCCATTTCCTGTAGGAATTTGTCCCTTTAATCAACTACTCTTTTATCCCTAATTTCAATCTCTCTTTATCTACTGGCTCCTTCCATGCTGCCTACAAACATGGTTATATCTTCTCTATCCTTAAAAAACCTTCAATTAATTCCTATCCTATATCTCTTCACTCTTATCATAGCCAAATTCTAGCTTAAGCTGTCTACATTCACTGCCTCCACTTTCTCACCTCCCACTCACTTGACTAGCTTCAGTCTATCTTCACTCAAGTGAAACTACTCACTCCAAGATCACTAGTGGTCTCTTTCTTACTAAATAGAATGTCCTTTTCTCAATCCTCATCGTTTTCTGCCCTTTTTTGGTGTTTGACGCTGTTCACCATTCCTTCCTCCTCAGTACTCACCATCATCCCCTGAACCAGGTCCAGATACTGAATCAACCAAACCAGATGCTTCTGGAGAATACCATGGAGAACAAGTTGCAGATCCATGAGGAGTAGAAACAGTACACAGACAAACTGAATGCCTTAAGAAGACATAAAGAAAAACTAGAAGAAAAATTATGGGTCATACAAATTAAATGATCCTGTCCGAATCAAAACAAAGCAAACAAAAACCATGTTATTAGAGTCAAAGCCTCAGTCAAACTCATCAAACTAAGGAAAGAGGGTTCAAGAGAATGTTCTAAATCAACCACTGACAGCCCTCCCTGTCAGCTGGAGTCTTGCTTCTCCATCTGCTTTCCAGCATCTCAAATCACAGCAAGAGATTCCAGATAACATCACCCACACAGAATCAAAGAGCCTGGATGAGAGAGATGCTCACCTAGGGGAAAAGTCACCAGTAATAGTAAGCAGAAACAAGTTTCTCACATGGAGGCAGCAGTGACCACTTTGAGGGTTCCACAGACTCTATGGCCAAGCACTGGCACACAGAGCTGCGTTCTAGGGTTTACTCTACCTCAGCCATCCACTTACCCCCTCTAGCTTGACCCTCATTGCCAAGCACATAGACCTGCCCAAAGGTTACAATTCTGGTGAGAATCTTTGTGAGCCCACCCCGGAGCAAGAGTTCACCAAACACAGGAGGCAATGTGACCAGGCCCCATATGTTAGAGAGCAGCAGGACTGTATCAGGCAACAGCTCCCCTCTTAATCTAAGAGGTTCCTCTGATTGGATCCACAGCAGGTCTGAGAGATTTAAGAGGGAAAACCTGGTGCCAAAATGGCATGTGGCTGACCACTTTGCCTTGAGATGTTGCCCCAAGCTGTTCTGCATTGGCCATGAGCAGACAAGAACAGCCCTCCCAGGAATGGGTCAATCCCACAGGAGTCTATCCAGAAGACTCATCCAGGCCAGCCTCATGTCATCAAACAAAGCTATGCCTCCCTAGGCAGTGAAATGGTGACTTTGGAAGTCACTGCAACAGTTTGTACTAGAAGCAGATTCGCTACCCCTTCTCGCCATTCCCCTTCTCCTTCCTTCCAACTCATAGTGCCTCAGGGTCTACAGGACACAGTCTTTGACCATGCAATCTGTGAAGGGATGCAGAGGCCAAAAGGAGAGCCACTTCCATTTCCCAAGGGATACTTCCACTGGACAGGGAGAGATGCTGAATGATTACTCTCAGAAGGCCAATGATCCTCCTGCCATCAGAATACTACTCTTTCCTGATTCACCTCTTAATAATAATGGTTCACATGTATAGAGATCTTTAAGGTTTTGCAAAGAGTTTTACATATATTATCTTTTATATCTGATGCTCCCAAAGGCCCTATAAAGTTGATACTATTATTATTCCCATTTCACAGATGAAGAAATTGAGGAAAAAAGAGAATAAGTTACTTGCAAAGGTCACACAGCTAGTAAGTATCTGCGATGAAGGTTGAACATAGGTGTTTTTGGCTACAAGTTAGCTTGGAGTCTCGCTATCCACTACACCACACTGCCTTTCCTGCCTAGCCAACTCCTTCTTAATCTCCTTTGTAGCATCTTCCTTACATACTACCCCCATATGTGAGTTTCCCCAGGATCCTGACTTCTCACCCTAACTCACCTCACATATCCAATCAGTTGTCAAATCTTTTTACCTTTGAAACATCTCTAATATATGTCCCCTTCTCTCTACTCATACAGCCACAACCTAGCTCAGGCCCTCCTGGCCTCTTGACTGGATGACGGTTCTGTCAGACCCCCTGATCCCAAGCTCCTCAATATCACTTGAAGGGGAGGAAGCACACAAGTGTCATCTCTCTCTCTCTCTCATACTCTCTCTCTCTTTCTCTTTCTCTCTCTCTCTCTCTCTCTCTCTCTCTCTCTCTCTCTCTCTCTCTCTCTCTCTCTCTCTCATACTCTGTGTGTGTGTGTGTGTGTGTGTGTGGCCCATAATATGACCTACCCAAACTTTTAATACCATCTCAGCAGTGCAAGGTAAAGACAAGGTATCAGACAAGGTAGTGACAAGAAGGGGACAGCAAATCTGCTTCTAACACAAACTGCTTCAAGGTAAAGTCCTCTTCTCTCCTGGTTGCTCCAACTTTGTCTCCACAAGCTTTTCTCCTCCTCCAATTATCTCTATTCTTCAGTTACCAGTCCCCCCATCACCATGCATGTATACCCCTTTAAGGAAGGTATACTTTTCCTTTCCCATGTTACTCAAATGGCAAAGGGAAGGGAAAGAAGGAAATTATATCTATTTTCTGCCTCACTAAAAAGTCTGTCAAGGCATTGTGCTGTATATGTTAGACTTTATATAATTGTGGCCATAAGAACAAGTAACTAAAAAACTTGGCATGGGAATGCCAAGAAAATATTTGTCAATAATGAGATGGATACTCATATTCACAGTTAATAGCTTACTGCCTGACACTTCCACTGAGGTCATTTCTTATTCCTTAAGGATGTGCTTGTTTCAAAAGCATGACTCTGACATACAATCTCCTGAAATGTAAAAATAAAAATTCATGTGTATGTTATCTTTCAAGGACTTTCCTCACAATAACTCTGCAGGGAAGATAATATAAGCATTTTTCCCCTCATTTTACAGATGAGTAAATTGAGGCTTGGAGAGGTTGTCACTTGTCCAGGGTCACACAGCTAATGTGTGTCTGGGTAAATGAAAGAATCAGAAGCTCAGGTCTCCTAACTCCAAATCCAGCACTCTTTCCTCTGTATCAGGGGACCCAGAGTAACTGCTAATATATGCTTGTTGATTCAGTGACTGACTAGAAAGAAAGGAAGTGGTAAAGTAAGTCAGTTCCCAGGGCTGGTCACCAAGTGTTTTCTTTTTTCCAGTACAGCTTGGCCGCTGTCCAGAACAGGATTGGGGTGACAAAGGAGAAGGGGAAACAGGTTGTTTCATTTGGTTATTACATACAGTACATCTGTAAAGCAGGTGTGCATATCTCAAGAATATGTCCAAATAGCCTTTTGTATTTGCAAAGCTCTAAAATATTTTTTCAGCTATTTTCAGACCAGCTTTCTTTATTCCCATTTAAAAAAGAAAGAAAGAAAGAAACTGAGGCCTAAAGTACTACAACAATTTTCTAGTGAGTCAAGGACAACACTGCTATTGTTAAGTAGGCAAAGTATTTCCATAACTTCTATACATATGGAACAGATGCCTTAGTGTGTCCCAAACTCTTCCTCTTCCCACCAAAAGAAAAAAAAATTAAAGCATTTGATTTACAAAGGTTGCCTTTTTTTCAATCAAGGTACTTGATTTGTAAAGGTTGAATTTTTCTACACTCAGAACAGGGCAAAACAATTGGCACATTTGATATTCACAGCATGAAGCATTTAACTGCTTACCATATAAGGATGTACAACCTAAAAGACACAAATGGGAATGTATTAATTTGGAGATAAAATGGATTCTGTTGGTTCTTACCTCTTCTAGACAATAGAATGTTCCAGGAGAATTCTTGATAAACATGGGGAAACTAAGAAAGTTCTCTAATGGAAGGAAATCTAGAGAAAAAAAAAGAAAAAGAAGAAATGAAGATACAAAGAGTGCAAATCAGTAACATTAATTTTCTATATGTTTTATAGCATTTTAAAACCATAATTTTTTTATTTTTAATATATTCAAAGCATTAGTTCTACATTGCAGATTAACTGAATAATGCATATATATATATATATATGCACATATATATGTAAACTTTAAATAAAGAAAATAACAGTATTTATGTTTATGGGGGAATTGGGAAACATTACAAAGCAACAGGCTGAAAGGGTGTTACACACTAGATTAGGTGAAAGATACTGATTGGGTTTTATTTGTTCTAATTCCATATATTTTAGAGGAGATGGAAATGGTTATGAATTTTGAAATTATGCTTATATTTTGATTAAATTATCAATAAATATAACTTGACTATAAATAATCAAATGCTTCTTTGCTTCAACAATCAGAATTTTTAAAAGAAATCCCTTTGTTTTGAATATCATAGCTTCTCACTCACAAGAATTACGAATCTCCAAAGGTCAGCTATAAATATCTTTCCCTAATACCTTTGTGACTGAGACACAGAATGGCTGCCTAATGAGCACGCTACTTGTCAGCCTTGATTTTCTTTCCATGGCTGAAGGTGATAGGCAACTACATTTCCCAGAACTGTTCAGTACCAGGAATCCAAACATTTCTTACCTATTTGGTAAAGCACAGTTGGGCCTGAGACAGAAAAGGAACTTTCTGAATCATCAGCTAACACTCAGCTGGTCAGAAGATGAGAGTAGGTGGACCATTTCACATTCATACAGATTCCAAAGATGAAGTTACAACATTTTATTTTATATTGGTGTCCTTTGATTATCCCCCTCAGAGAGCCATGGGATTTATACAGTACACACATATATACATTATACATAGATATTATACAACTAAATATGTATATGCATATATATTTGTATAATGACTTGTTTAGAGGTCACCCAGTCCAAACATTCTTATTTTAGAGATGAGGGAACTGAGGCAGAGAAAAGAGACATTCTTTGACAAAGTAACACTGTCAGATAGTGAAAAGGGACATGACTAAAACCCAGGTCTTCTTGCTGATTTCCAATCCAGCACCATTTAGTTTGTTCAACAAGCATTTCTTTACTGGGCACCACTAATTCCGAGAATGCAAAAAGGTGAAAAGTATGGTGACAGTTTATTTGGGGGAAGTAGGACGTTTAAAAAAATCAATAAATAACAGTTCAAGGCATCATATGAAAAATAACAAATAAGGGGTACAAATTATAATTAGTCTACAAGAGTTCAGAAAAGGAGTCCATTTTATTTCACCCTCTATAATGAGGTCACTCTCATTAGTTTCATTGCTGACTAATGAGCTAACTAAGAATAAAGTGTGAAGTATAGGGGATTTAAGCCAGGTCAAAACAGGCAGAACAAAGCAGAGAACTAGCTATTACATATGAAAATGCTATTTGGAATAAATTGCCCAAGGAACTCAATATGTCAATAGGGTTGTAAAGGAAAGATTTTTGCCGATTTTCCAAATAATTGTCTCCATGTTCTTCCACCACTTGCTCAGAATAAGTCTTGGACTTAATATGCTTAACAATCATAGCCCAAGGGATTTACAACATAATGGGACCAGTTTAACAACAGGACATCATATAAGCTTGTGGAAATACATTGTCAGTATTTCTGAAAAGAAAAACCACATTTTCCAGGTTATTTGAGGAAGGAATATTTTTAAGTGATTTCTTGCAGACACAAGAAGAATAATCCACGAAGATAAGAGTGGGAAGAACAGACCACAAGTTTGCAAATATTCAAGGGGACATTTAGGAAGAATTAAAGAATTTCTAAAGTCATCATGCAAAGTGGTTTTTTAAAAATGCTATATCAAAGTGCTTAAAGCTAGGTGTGGTAGCGTATAACTATAACAATCCCAGCTACTGGGGAGGCTGAGGCTGATGGATCTTTTGAGTTCAGTAGTTCTGGGCTGCAGTGGGCTATTCCAATCCAGTGTCTGAACTAAGTTGGGTATCAATATGATGAGTCCCTAGAAGTGGGGGCCACCATGTGGCTTAAGGAAGGTTAAACTGTCCCAGATTGAAAACTGAGCAGATCAAAGATCCAGTGCCAATTAGTAGGAATGAGCCCATGAGTAAACCTGGCATTTATAGCTTGAGCAAGATATGGAGACAAGGTACAGAGTCTTTTAAAAAAAAATGTATACAAGATGGTTAGGACCATAGGATCAAACGAGGATATCCACAGGTAAATTCCAAAGACATGTGAAATACAGAATTTGCCCAGGATGACATCTCAAAATCTGCCTGCAAAATAAAAAGCCCACATTATTCTAATCTCTCCTAAGCAAATGTGTACTTTGTAAATATAGACCATTCATAAGAGAAAAGCGGGGACGGAAGGAGAGAAAGGGAGGGAGGGGGAGACAGAGACAGCGAGAGAGAGAGGTAGAGAGACAGAGGGAGAGAGAGAGAGGGAGAGAGAGAGAGAGAGAGGGAGAGAGAGAGAGGGAGAGAGAGGGAGGGAGGGGGAAGGAGGGAGGAAGGGGAAGAGAGAGAGAGAAAGGGGGGAAGAGAGAGAAAGAGGGAGGAAGGAGGGAGGGAGGTGGAGAGAGAGGGAAAGAGAGAGAGAGATTCGTTCTACAGTAGACAAGCACTGCTAAATTTGGTCATACTATTCAATGTCTACTTTGAAACTCGACATAGAAACAAAAAATTTAAAAATTAAAAATGTTATAAGTTTTGTAAACCATAAATCAGCACACAAGTATAAATTATTCATGAACAAATATTAGGGATCACCAAATGGAGAGATTTCTAGGAATCAATTACTAAGGCTTCTTTTGATCCTATTCCCTCCTCACTCCTCTGGGACCTTGCTCCAGCAATTATCGCTCCATTCTGCCCCCCCCCACTATCACTCTTGGTCACCACTAGCTACTTACAATTTGTCTATAAGTATAGTCAGATCTCCTACATTCTGAAGGAAAAAAAATCCTTCTGACTACCCTAGTAAACCCGAACCGGCTTCCGCCTCCACTTCTCTACAAAAACTACCAACCACCTCCTCCAAGAAAGGGATACCCACCCTACTCAGGCTTCATATGGTATTGTGTTTTAGAACTCTTTAATGTACTTATCATGTAGTATTTTACATTAGAGTCACCTTTTCTGGCGCCATGCCCCCTTAGCCTGTAAATTCCCTGAAAGCAAGGATAATGTATAATCTAAACTTTGTGTCTCCCCTGGCACTTAGAAGATTTCTGTGCACACAATACAAGCCTAATGAATCAATAGAAGAGTGTTTATTTAAAGTACCTCTTATGTGCCAGACACCATGCTAAGCAGTGGGAACTTAAGGACAAAGAACAAAGCAATCTCTAGCCACATGGAGCTTACATTCCAAAGAGCTTCTCTCAGTTGTTATACTGTCATCCAATCTAATCCCCTCATTTTACAGATAAGGAGATGAAAGGCTCACCAAAGTTAACTGATTCACCAGAGGTCACACAACTAAGTCTCATAGGTCCTTGAGTAATGCTCAATCATTCATCTGGTAGCAGAAGATGAACAAGAGGTCCGATCATGGATTAGTCTAGAGACACCAGGCAGCTAGGCCTCTTGTGAACTCCAGTGGAAATTTTGGAGAAATCTAATTCCAGAGCTGGATCTCCCTCATTGCCAAAGACAGTGCAGGGAATATCTTGTGTTTGTGGTGAATGGGTGGTCTGAATAGAGGAAACAGAGGCCTGAGTTTTCACTGTCCTTACTTGTGTCTTACCAAGCACACTGACTGGCACTGTGGTCAGTGATTATTGATACTTACTAGTTGATTGAGTAATAACACATTAAGCCATTATCAGTCTGATCCTGATTAAATTTACCATGCCAGCTACTCAGTTGTCTAGAAGACAGCTGAAAGAATAGAACAAATAGGACAAATAAGAGAGGAACAGGGGTGGATGGAGAAGGGAAATGACAGGAAATATCCTAACAATAATAGGGTTACAGTAGGGGAACCAAGGCAATCGGGGTCAGAATGAGGGCTCGGGGCACCCTGGAGAAGAGTGCTAAATGAAAGAGCCATACTTTCATGATGTCAGCACTTGACTCATACAAGAGTTGGACAAAATGCTTCGGAATTCACATCCAGCTCAAAGATTCTACATCATGGTATTTGTGGGTACTTGCCCATCATTCCTTTACACCACAAAAAGACGAGTCCAAATGAGAGAAGGATTATCTTACCAGCCAATGGGGCAAATAATCCAAGGCCTCCTCAGGTTTGAAAGAACCTAAATCTCACCTTAGGTTCTGCAGAAAGCTGCCTCCCAAAAGACATAATTATAACAGGCCAGAAACACACAAAACCTTATGACAGATGAGGAAAGCTCTGAGGTGCTATAATCCTTAAGAGCACAAAAGTGAGCAACCACTTCTGCAATGCAGTCAACCAGCCCCTGATAAGTCATGGGCGGGAGCTGAAGAATTGATGCATTAATCACTGTCATGGAAAAATAAAATCAATACGGCTTTAATGAACCAATAATAAATTGTTGTGGCTGTCTCATAGAAGTATAATCAACTTACTATAATAAACAATAAGTACAAGGGAAAAAATCTGATTTAAGCAAGTTACTCACCATAGCCAATAACCTGTGTCTAATTACCAAAACAAACATTTCTTAAATATGTAATTTAAAGACTATGTATGGTTAACTTATAAGTGTGAAATAATAGCAATATGGTAAAAAAAAATGCACCAGATCTGCAGTCAGATGCCACAGGCCAGAATCCTGGCTCTGCCACTCACCAGATGCAATAACAATCACTTGACCTCTCTAGTACTTAGTTTCTTCATCTGCAAAATGGAACCTATACTGTGAGCCTATGTGAACCTATACTTCACAAGATTCTTATGGGGATCAAATGAGGCAGAACATATGAAGCATTTTCCAAACATCAGCTACTATTTGGTGCCT